CCCAGCTGTTTAGGGTAAGTAACATTTTTTAAAGAAATTAATACTTTCATTCAGCAAGAATGCATTAAATTGTTTAAAAATGACAGAAAAATGATCATAAATTATCCTAGTTTCCACAAAAATATTAAGCAGTACAACTATTTTTAACATTGATAGTACAAAATGTTTCTTGAGCAGGAAATCAGCATGTTTTCTGAAGGATCATGTGACACTGAAGACTGAAGTAATGATGCTAAAAACTACTTTCAAATAAAAAACAAATCACTGCTCCTAAACATTTTAACTGTAAGAATGTTCGAGTTCATATTAAAAAGATTGATTGTAGACATATTCATTGTAACATTAGAGTCTTCCCTAATGTAAAAAGTCTCTATTTGCTTTTCAGTTAATCTCAATGCTGTCTAGGAAAAGCAAGAACAAATGTGATCTTTCCTATACAATCAAATGTATGAAAGCCAATCTGTAAGTAAATTAAAAAAAAAAAAAAAAATGGTGACACCCACATGGTTTCTGATTGACACGTTATGACACGGGAGGACAGCTCAGCCAATCTGCCATCCTGGCCGGGACATGGAACATTCTAATTATACGCCCAGCCATTCCACATTCATCAGCACACATGACTCTTTCAGTGGTAATAAGGTCTTCAGTTGCTGCTTTCACATTGTAATGTCTTAATTACTGTGATTGCTGGAAAGACATCGTTCCATTACCCACACGCACATATGGAGAAAGCAGCTACGCCGTGTGCATGCTAAACTAACAACTACAGGTAATGAACGGAGACATAAACCTATAGAGTCCAATCCTTTGCTCGTAATGCTTTTCAAATTATGCACAGGTAAGCACTCGCCTCAGGCCATTTGCGAGCTAGGTAGGAAAACAGTGCCCAGAAGCAAGTCCAACGGGCCCAATTATACTCCTTGCAGTCCTGTTCCTTTAGGTCTGCTGTGAGTATTCGAGGCCCTTAGTCCTTCTAATTTGCATATGACCTGCAGTTTTACGTGTTTGTGCTTTGAATATTACCATATCACTGGGTTATTACTGACAACGGAAATGAAATATGTCTACAACACATGCAAATTAATTCGATTAAACAGGCAACGTTATAGACTCAATTCTGCAAAGGTTAAGCCAAGTCCAGCACATTAAACAGACCATCTCGCTCAGATTCTGCATGCGGGTGTGTGACTGCTGAACTGTGGTTGAGAGTCCCAGACGGCAGACTGTGTGCAGTTTGGGAGGGTTTGGATTGGGTGGAACTGTGACTGGCAGAAGACTCGATTTGTTCCCATCTGATTTCCTGTTTGCTTATATTTGTAGATTTCTGGAAAGCACGTTGTGCAGCGAAAGCCGTGAAACTGCCTGGATATATTACGTCTGGCTCAAAATGCTTAAATAAATGGACACACCATAGCAGACTTAAGGGTGGGACTGCGGGAATATGTTTTGTGTTGTTCAATGGCAGATTTAGGAAACCTGTTTGAAAACAGTCATTATTTCTGCATTTAAACATCACTTTTATGGCAGATCTCAGTGGTTTCATTTAAGTCTCTTGCCTCACAGGTTATAACAGAAATAAATAAAACAGAATTAATTAAACTTTCTAATATAATATATTAATAAAAAATACCCAGCTGTTTAGGGTAAGTAACATTTTTTAAAGAAATTAATACTTTCATTCAGCAAGAATGCATTAAATTGTTTAAAAATGACAGAAAAATGATCATAAATTATCCTAGTTTCCACAAAAATATTAAGCAGTACAACTATTTTTAACATTGATAGTACAAAATGTTTCTTGAGCAGGAAATCAGCATGTTTTCTGAAGGATCATGTGACACTGAAGACTGAAGTAATGATGCTAAAAACTACTTTCAAATAAAAAACAAATCACTGCTCCTAAACATTTTAACTGTAAGAATGTTCGAGTTCATATTAAAAAGATTGATTGTAGACATATTCATTGTAACATTAGACTCTTCCCTAATGTAAAAAGTCTCTATTTGCTTTTCAGTTAATCTCAATGCTGTCTAGGAAAAGCAAGAACAAATGTGATCTTTCCTATACAATCAAATGTATGAAAGCCAATCTGTAAGTAAATTAAAAAAAAAAAAAAAAATGGTGACACCCACATGGTTTCTGATTGACACGTTATGACACGGGAGGACAGCTCAGCCAATCTGCCATCCTGGCCGGGACATGGAACATTCTAATTATACGCCCAGCCATTCCACATTCATCAGCACACATGACTCTTTCAGTGGTAATAAGGTCTTCAGTTGCTGCTTTCACATTGTAATGTCTTAATTACTGTGATTGCTGGAAAGACATCGTTCCATTACCCACACGCACATATGGAGAAAGCAGCTACGCCGTGTGCATGCTAAACTAACAACTACAGGTAATGAACGGAGACATAAACCTATAGAGTCCAATCCTTTGCTCGTAATGCTTTTCAAATTATGCACAGGTAAGCACTCGCCTCAGGCCATTTGCGAGCTAGGTAGGAAAACAGTGCCCAGAAGCAAGTCCAACGGGCCCAATTATACTCCTTGCAGTCCTGTTCCTTTAGGTCTGCTGTGAGTATTCGAGGCCCTTAGTCCTTCTAATTTGCATATGACCTGCAGTTTTACGTGTTTGTGCTTTGAATATTACCATATCACTGGGTTATTACTGACAACGGAAATGAAATATGTCTACAACACATGCAAATTAATTCGATTAAACAGCCCTCTAATGGATTTAGTTTAGTGAAGTCAACAAAAAAGCTCTTTGGTCTATGAGACAGCATTTTTTTTATAATAATTTAATATTATTTATGTTATCTAACATACACACACCATAATGCACTAGTCAAAGTTTAATAGAGTACTTCAGCCAAAATAAAAAATGTAAATAACATTTATTTACTTTCATGTCATTCCAAACTGTTCAACGTGGAACATATGAGAATTATATATATATATATATACAGTGGGTACGGAAAGTATTCAGACCCCCTTCAATTTTTCACTCTTTGTTATATT